CTGGACAAGCACATATAGAAGAAAGAAAAATATGGACAGAAATTCAGGTAAGACATAAAATGACAGACATATATATATATATATATATATATATATATATATATATATATATATATATATATATATATATATATATATATATATATATACATATATATATATATATATATATATATATATATATATATATATATATATATATATATATATATATATATTTATATGTGTACATATTATATGTATATGTATTATAATATATATATATATATATATATACATATATATATATATATATATATATATATATTATATATATATATATATATATAATATATATATATATATTTATATGTGTACATATATATATGTATATGTATATATATATATATATATATATATATATATATATATATATATATATATATATATATACTATATATATATATATATATATATATATTATATATATATATACATATATATATATATATATATATATATATATATATATATATATATATATATATATATATATATATATATATATACATATATATGTATATATATATATATATATATATATATATATATATATATATATATATATATATATATATATATGTATATATAATATTTATTCATAGATCGATATATACATGCACACATACATATGAATAATAAAAATGCTGCAAGACATAATGATAAATAATTTATATACAGTTTCCATCTGACCTTTCTCTTCTAATAACAATAAAGTGATCCAAAATTACACAGCTAATTTTAATTTTGCTGTACTGTGAGTTAATTAATTGTGAAATGAAGTCAAATAACGTTTTAAAATTTCTTGATTGTACAGAGAAAAAAATAGAATAAAAAAGAGATAATCTGAATTTAATTTAATTGTGTATATATATTTTTTACCTTTCTTCTTTCTTTTTTCCTTTTTTTCTTTTTTTCTAAATAATACGTCTAAGAGACCACGTAGGGATTTAATTATCATTTCATAAATAGCTCAGGCTACAGTAAAACAAATCTGTTAGACGAAATCCGCTATCTTTTTCTCATTCATAAAGAAAATCATCCCCAACTTCTATAAAATCTTATATCAGGGTGATAACCGTTTTGTATATTTTGTGTATTATGTCAATTTTCATCAAAGAGAAAAATACGATGATGTTGGCAACTATATAATCGTTCAAATTTTGAACTTCATGTTTTGACCTATTTTGATTTATGGCTGCCTAGTTTTAGAGAGAACTTTTCAATAATACCCTTATGTTTTCATTCTTATTGATATTATCAGTATTTAAATTGTTATTAAAAGATTAATAACATCAAAGACAATAAAATGATTAGTAGAAGTGAATCTTTCAAAAAATGAAGGTAAAGCGTAACACAGTGAGGGATAGGAGGAATAATAGGAGACTCCTTGGTGACTAAGCACTTGTAGAGCCATCTATGTGGAAAGACAATGTAAAAAACATTTATTACAGCAGGCATGGCATTGTAGTCTTGTCACCCGCGCTCATTGGCTTCTATAATTATGTTTATTTCTTAACTAAGCTTTTTGTGCGTGTTACTCATGTCCATTATATATATTTTTTTTCCTTTCTTCTTTCCTTTTTTCCTTTTTTTCTTTTTTTCTATATAATACGTCTAAGAGACCACGTAGAGCTTTAATTATTATTTCATAAATAGCTCAGGCTACAGTAAAACAAATTTGTTAGACGAAATCCGCTATTTTTTTTTTCTCATTCATAAAAAAATCATCCTCAACTTCTATAAAATCTTATACCAGGGTGATAACCGTTTTGTATATTTTGTGTATTATGTCAATTTTCATCAAAGAGAAAAATACGATGATGTTGACAACTATATAATCGTTCAAATTTTGAACTTCATGATTTGACTATTTTGATTTATGGCTGCCTAGTTTAGAGAGAACTTTTCAATAATACCCCTTATGTTTTCATTCTTATTGATATTATCAGTATTAAATTGTTATTAAAAGATTAATAACATCAAAGACAATAAAATGATAGAAGTGAATCTTTCAAAAAATGAAGGTAAAGCGTAAACAGATGAGATAGGTAGGACTAATAGGCGACTCCTTGGTGACTAAGCACTTGTAGAGCCATCTATGTGGAAAGACAATGTAAAAAACATTTATTACAGCAGGCATGGCATTGTAGTCTTGTCACCCGCGCTCATTGGCTTAATTATGTTTATTTCTATAACTAAGCTTTTTGTGCGTGTTACTCATGTCCATTATATATATTTTTTGTTTTGAGAATAAAACACACCTTCCTTAATTTAAGGATATTTATGAATTACAAAGTTTCACAAAAAACGATATGACTGCCTTGTCGCTTCAGCAAAGGTTGTCATCACATTTTCCCTGATCACGTTTTTTTCCCCTTTAATCATGCATTTGTATGTGTTGCTCCAACAATAGATAATGAGATAATGAGACAAATTGATGAACGCAAATGAGCGATGCATGCGACTGACGCTGTTCCCAAATGTCCATTCTAATTATTTCATCTATGTCAGGTTTCGTCAATAATGAACGTGTTAATGTACGCATTAGTATGATATTAGATTGTATACCATATATACGTCATTTTGAGTAATGTAGAAGTATTTATTTGATCTATTTATTTCTTGATCTTTTTGTGAAAATGTCTCAGACAAAATTTGCCCTTTTAATAATACAAATGACAATAATGATTGTAATAAAAAGAGTGATAATGATGATAATCATGATAATCATAATGATACTGACGACAATAAATTATAATGATAATCATAATAATAATAAGTGGTGATGATAATGATATTTATGGTGACGGTGATAGTAATGACGATAATTGCTTCCTATACAACAAGACGAGAAATGTAAAAAAAAAAAAAAAAAACGCCCACAACCGCCCCCCACAACATTCCAATTTCCCTCCCTCCTTCCAGTTACCCCCTCCCCCCCCTCCTTCCCATTACTTCCTGTCTGGTCAGTATCTTCATTTATATTCATATATCTCCCCCTTCCTCCTTCCCCCCTCCCCCCGTTATTGATGGAGCGGCACCAATCCATCTTTTTAAAGCAATCCCCCTCCCTTCTCTCTTCTTCTCATTCGTTGGCACTCTCCCTTCTTCCTTGCGCTCTCTCTCTCTCTCTCTCTCTCTCTCTCTCTCTCTCTCTCTCTCTCTCTCTCTCTCTCTCTCTCTCTCTCTCTCTCTCTCTCTCTTTCTCTCTCTCTCTCTCTCTCTCTCTCTTAAATTTTTGTGTCTATCATCTATTTACTTATTATCTCTCCATTAGTTAATAGATCAACCTGAACATCCATTCTTTTAACGTAATCAATCTCCTGGCATTTAAGTAATAATTTCCTGACAGTTCAATGAGAGAAAATGTGAAATAAAATTATTAGGTTTATTATAAACACCGTGTTCTTTAATTTCAGAGGAAGAAAGAAGAGTAGCAAGATTAAAATATATTGACTGCTATGTAAATTGGTAGCAAAGCTCGATAGAGAGACGGGGAGGGAAGAAATAGAGAGAGAGTGAGAAAGAAAGAGATGGAGAAGAAAGAGAGAGAGGGGGGGGAGAGACAGAGACAGAGACAGACAGATAGATAGAAACAGAGAGAGGGCGAGAGAGAGAGAAAGGGAGAGAGAGACAGACAGACAAAATTAGAGAGAGAGAGAGACAACCAGACAGACAGACAGGCAAACGGACAGATAGAAACAAAGAGAGAGCGAGAGAGAAAGAAAGGGAGAGAGAGAGACGGAGGAGAGAGAGAGAGATAGAGAGAGAGAGAACTAGACAGACAGACAGAGAAAGTAGAAATCCCCAATAACCATATAAGGGCATCATATTTACATTTCAGAAAGAAAACACGAACGTCTTCAATTTTTTAGACCAAAATGCTATGAAAATACAATAAAATGTCTTGAAAATACTATACATATAACCTATTTATTTCTAGGAATCTGGAGGGAAGGGGATAGGCAGGTGGGGGAGAAGGGGAAAGGGGGGACGTAAAAGCTCTCTCTCTCTCTCTCTCTCTCTCTCTCTCTCTCTCTCTCTCTCTCTCTCTATATATATATATATATATATATATATATATATATATATATATATATATATATATATATATATATATATATATATATATATCTTCCTCTCTCTCTCCCTATCTATCTCTTTCTCTCTCTCTCTCTCTCTTTCTCCCTCTCTCCCTCTCTCCCTCCCTCCCTCTCTCCCTCCCTCCCTCCCTCCCTCTCTCCCTCTCTCCCTCTCTCCCTCTCTCCCTCTCTCTCTCCCTCCCTCTCTCCCTCTCTCCCTCTCTCCCTCTCTCCCTCCCTCCCTCTCTCCCTCTCTCCCTCTCTCCCTCTCTCCCTCTCTCCCTCTCTCCCTCCTCCCTCCCTCCTCCCTCCCTCTCTCCCTCCCTCTCCCCCCCCCCTCTCAGCCCCAGGCCCCATGGCGCGCGAACCCCATTCATAACGCCTCAATTAACCGCCAGGGGGGAGAGGGCTGGCGTCATTACGTAACCGTGACGTCACTGACAACGTTATCGGAGGGGTGTGACGTCACAGAAAATCGTCACGATGGCAGTTGTCCATTGTTTTTGTTGTTATTGTTTTTGTTGTTCCTTCGTATTGTTATTATTCTTGTTAGCGTTATTGTTGTTATCGTTATTATCATCGTTGTGCTGTCATTATTGCCGTTGTTATTGTCGCTATTTTCATTATCCCTTTTACTATTATTATTATTATTATTATTATTATTATTATTATTACTATTATTATTATTATGATCATTATCATTATTATTATCTTTATCATTATCATTACTATTATTATCATAATTATTATTTGTTTTCATTATGATAAAAATGATAATCATAATAATTACTACTTTTATTTTTTTATCATTATCATTATTACTATTATTATTATTACTTTTATTATTATTATTATTATCATTATTACTATTATTAT